CTTTGTTGATAGAAGAAAGCACACAGCCCTCTGCTTTAATTATAGGTACTTATTATTGGGTGACTTTATTAACTGAAGAAATACTTTTTTTCTACCTCTGGCAAATTAGTCAAAAAGAGGATTAAAGACTTGTCAGAAATAACTGGTACTATGGAAACCACATGTATAAATTCTGTTCTGTGAACTCTTGCTCAGGTAGCTAGCGAGATTCTGCTGGCCACCTCCTGGCTCCAAGACAGGGAGGGCTTCCTGTACTCAATTAAAAATCATTTATATTTTGTATCTGTACTGCCTATATCCTGATGAATGTAGAGCTGTATGGAACCTTCCTAAGCAAAGCAAATCAGTAATTTCACCCATTCCCAATTACTTGATAAAAAGGCAAAGAATAAAAAAACCAGAGAGGCTGAGGTTGTAGTTGAATGGTACCCAGTGAGTACTTTCCTTGCAAGAGGCTCTGGGTTCGATCCCCATCAATAAAAACAAACAAACAAAAAAAGAGAATTAAAGTGTCGTCACACTAGGAAGAAAACCCATACACCTACGAGTGCATTTAAGTTAATGATATTTACATTAGCTAAGACAGAATTCCCCAGACCTCCTCAGTGGCTCCCTCTTTGTCATCTTCTGAACTGACACTGAGGATCATTTTAATTGGCAAGCTTGAAGAAGAGGAAGTATGTAGAGAAATGCAAAATAGAAATAGAAAATCAAAATTAAGAAATGTGGAGAAGCCAAGGAAATAAGGGGAAAATGAAGTTAAATAACTGGACAGAATAACTGGAACTTAAAAAAAAAAACCCTGAATAACTGGAAGATATTCAGTATGCCAGAAGACTTAAAAGCAGGACCTTTTTGGTAGGACATTTATTTAAAAATCTAAAGGCTTTTTGAGGGGTAAGTTTATTACCAAAAATAAGGTTGTTAGAACCCTTTGATTTAAACTAAGTATTCAGCATTAATACCTGGGATTAAATACCTTCAATGTATATGAAGAAAGCCACAGAAAGGTTACAAAATTCAGGCATTTCATATTTATTTTTAGATTCATTAATTAACTAACCAAAAAAGACTTATCTTCCTGTTTAAGCTGATGTATAATTAAGATATCTAAGTGCAAAGAATTTGTCCATAAAACTAAATTAGAATGTAGGAGGCAAAACCTCAGTTTTTTCAGCTACTTTTTTAAAAATATGAATTTCTGAAAGCATTATCTACTCTTCCAAGAAAGCATTGAGAAACTACAAGGTAAGGCACTATAATAGGTGTTTTGGGGATCTAGAGGCAGATAAAATAAAGTTTCTTTCAAGTTTATAACAGGCTGATAACCCAAGGACACTAGAGCAAATTTCCTCTCATTTCTAAACCAGTTTCTTGAAATTGGTTCTCTCCACCTAGTGGTTGAGTTTTCCGGAGAGTGTGGAGTTGGCCACTATCAACATCAAGGACTTTTATGGTAAGCGAGCACACTTTCATCTCTTCTTAATCACATTGGATCTTCACATGAGTGTGGGGGACTGCACCGGTCACACTCCAATAACTGCGCAAGAACCAGACTGTGTGATCTTGCCTCCGTGGCCTCAGACTCTTCTAAGCCTCCTCTTCTAAGCTTTAGGAATGAATGGATTAATTCATGTTCAATGTTAAGCACATTTTGACCCTCACCATACCTCTATGGGGATGGTGCTATGCCTGACTCTTCAGTGGTTCCAGTGAGATTTAGGAGTGTAGAAAACTTTCCTGGGCTCAGGAAGCTTGTGAGTGCTTAATATTCAAACCCAAGTCTGACTACAGCACATGACTCTGCCACTACTGTCCTGTGGGATCAGTCTTTTAGCTCAGATCTGAAGCTTAAAACATTCTAACAATTGAATTCCTTTTTCTTACATTTGTTGCCCAAACTCATTTTGGTGGTAAAATTTGGTCTGAACTAATTTGAGATGATAGTCTTTATCTTAGTTTAAATGTTCATGTATATTTAATTGTACCAATATTGTACTGCATCTGTATAATATTTTGTATTATGCATGTATGGCATATGCTCCTTTTTATCTTCCTAAAACAGGCAAGCCTTTCAATTCGGGAATCATCTACCCCATGGTTTTCAGAGAAGAGGTATTGACTTACCATCTTGTTCTCACTGCTCCCGACCCTCTGCCCTTGTGCTTCCAATCTATTGCTCTGAATCAGCTGTGGGCTGGAAAATTCAGGCTTGTAACTTTTCACTACCTGAAGGGACTCATACAATTTTTTAAAATTATGAGTTCATATTGATATCCCCATGTCCAATTCAACTCCACGAGTTTTTGTGCTTCTTAGTTGCATAATTTCCTTATCTCTGTTACAGAAGAAATCATTTGTGATCCTTGTTAAAGACCCTAAGGGAAACTTTAAATATTATCTGGATGCTGCAGTGGGGTTTCACAGTAGGGGAGAGAGGTCAAGCTGAACTTTGCATACAGCAGGGACAAGTTGAGATTTGTAACTAAGGAATAGAGTGTGAGGATCAGTAGGTGGAAAATTACTAAGAGGAGTTAAGGTTGGGGTAGTTCCTGCCAGCACAGTTCAACTAAATTCTTACTGCAGGCAGGCCAGGGTGTTTAGATACCCAAGGCAAGGGGCAAGGAATTTGATCAGGTATCAAGGGAGATCCAATAGCAAGGATATTTGTGAGATTCTTGTAAAAAGTGGCCTAAGCAAGCCAAGATAGAGCCCAAGGTTGGGCCTACTTAAAACTCTATCATTCCATTCCTTTTATTTAACCTGGATGTAAAACTTTTCTCTTGGCATGTAACAATCTATATTTATATTTTAACTTAGATAAATAGGTCCTTTATCATGTAATGACATTCACTATGACAAATATCAGCATTTTAGTGTATTTAAAACCAAAATAGTCATACAGAACTTTAAAAAATTATATATATATATATATATATATATATATATATATATATATATATTACTTGACTTAACCAGAATTATACATAGAGAGTAGATGTTGCATGGTCATTTCTGGGGCATTACACCCCTTCCTCCCTTACTTGGGGTGGGTATTTGGGGATTAAAATACTCATCATAGTCAAAATCATAAGAGGAAAAAAATGAAAGAATTGTGAATTATAGATTTACCTACTGAAAGCCTTCAGTGTACTCACTTAGAATGAAGAAGATGAGGAATGGATTAAGACTATAATGCTTTATTCTAAGTTTTGTTTTTTTTTTTTAAAGAGAAGGGATCCTGAGTCTGTGGAAAGAAAGGATCTGCGAATGACTTAAAAATTGGACTCTTGTATTTCAATCTTACTTTACAGAGCAAGGAAAGGAAGAAACTAGAAGGTGACTGAAGTGCTAGAAAGTTGAGTTTCTGAATCTCTCATTTTCTGCCTTTATCATGTAAGAAAGAATAAGGACAGTTTGGAGGAGAAAAATATTGGATGAACTTTGCTGATGTTGCCCATTTCAGAACAGCTTCCAGAGAGCCTGGAGCTTCAGGAGGGCCTAGTCGACATAAGTGGGTGTCACCTAAAACAGAAGAACCAGTGTTTATTGACCTTTGTACCTGTTAACATATTTAGTCTTTATCAGCTTGAGCCCCATAAAATAGATTAATGTAGCTGAGATTCAGAGGAGTGAAGAAGTTTGCCAAAGGTTTCTCGACCCCAAATAGAGAAGTTGTGGCTGAATGCTATTTCTGTCTCCAAAGCTCATCTCTTTTTATCTTGTCCTTCACCCTCTAGCCATTATCAGTTTACAGAGAGTTAGGGGGAGGTGCAAGACCAGTTCTGAAACTATTCTGGCCACAGGGCAGGAAGACAGGAGGCTTGAGTTTCTCCCTTCGATTGCCTTTCTCCCATGCATAAATTTTATGTACAGCCAGCTCAGAGCAACCTCCAGAACCCTTGACCTTTTATTTTTAAGATTCATAAATAAAAACATAAAAATCGGGCATCATGTTGTATTTTGATGCACATATACACCATGTAATGCATGAACCAAGGCAAACACCTTCACCTTCCAAACACTTATCATTTCTTTATGGTAAAAACATTCAGAGTCCTTTCAGCTTTTTGGAAAAAGCTGATACAGTACAGATGCACCCTGGTGTTCTATGGTTAGGATTGAGCGCTCTCAAGTATACAAGGCATTGCCATTAACTGTGCTTACCCTACCATGCAGTAGCACACCAAGAACTTGCTCCTGTTCAACTGTAACTTAGAACCCTTTCATCTACCTCTCCCCATTGCCTTCTCCCTCTCCCGTCTCCCATTTTGCTCTCAATGTCTGTGAGATCCCTTGTTTTAGATTTTACGTGTGAGTGAAATTATATGGGACTTGCTTTTTGTACCTGCCTTATTTCACTTTCTTATCAATACTGTCTTTCCCTCAGACATGCCATAGTAGATCACTCTGCCGTGAAGGTATCCTGGGCCGCTTTCTCTGGAATCTCCAAGCCCTGTAGCTCAGTCAGAGCCCCTCATCTGAAGTCACAGAGTCCCCTGAGTCTGTGGCTACTCCCCACAGTGGCAGAGAAGTAGAAATAGGTTTGAAGAAAATCTTAAGAAACAGTTGGCACGCAGTAAGTGAGTGTTTGTGGAATGAATGGATCTACTGCCTCCTGGAAATCCCTGTAAACAACATTGGATTTACATGGGCTACTACTTTTGTACCTGGCAGTTTTCCTACAGTGTTTATTTGAAAACAAATGCAGATTATATCCCAGGTCACTTTTATACTACCACTGGTAATGCTAGGAATATATTTGTGTTAAGAAAAAATGCTTTCAAGATTGCCTCTTGGGATAAATGCTCTTTTTCTCTTATAATTAAATTACATTCTTAAACTCGCTATTACAAAGGATAAAAATTTAACTGGAGACCGCAGGATTATTTAATTTCCTCTTCCCAACCAGTTAATAGCTGTGTTACCATGAAAACACTTTATTTCTCCACTTGGTAGATGTGAAAATAAATCATGGAACATTTTTCATCTCTTAATAGGGAGAGATAATGCATGTGAGAAAACTTCATACATGTTTCTACGAAAGGAACTGCCTGTGCGACTGGCTAACACAATGAGAGAAGTCAATCTTCTACCTGATAACTTACTGAACCGCCCTTCGGTGGGGTTGGTTCAGAGCTGGTAAGTAAAGTGGCTTGAACTGACTCTTCTCACAATGCTCTGAACATTGGGCATCGGAACCATTGTCCACAAAAGTGCACACACATACTGCCTGCCTGGGGATGAGTCACTGAGGATAGCTTGGTTTTTCCATGCCATTCACAGTTTTTTTAAGTTACTTTAAAAAATATTTCTAAATCATAATAGATACTTTCTTGACTTCATATTTTATGTTTCTGGTTATAGAGATGGTTATCAAGTCTCAGCCTTGTTCCTTTTGTTTTCCTTTTAAAGAAGTTCCTTAAAGGCAGTATCTCTTGTAGAAAAAAACAAGTCCTTTAAAGGGGAACCTCAGATTAGAAAAATATCAGCTCCCTGCTGTGCTTCATCTACCCTACGCAAAGTGCAACATCTTAACAGAGTATAACTTAAAGTTCAACCTGTTGAAGCTCTGATGCATAAAGCAGATGCTGGTAATGGAGGAAGTTGAATTTCTGATGAAAGTTCCCACTAGGTAAGCAGGGGGAGACCGGTAAGCACTCGGATATGAGTGGGTGGTATGTTTTTAGAAAGATATTTGCATATATTTGAGAAACAGTTGCAGGTCTTCTCTATGTTGTAATAGCAAGGTTAAAGTCCTTGGAGAAAGCTGGAATAGTTGAGGAGGCCAGACACAGTGCTGTGGGAACACAACAGCAGGCAAAAAGTGCTCGCTGTGATCTTGCACTGTCCCCTGATGAGTGGGTGTAAGTGACCATACACATCACAGGGAGAGCACTTTAAGATCAGGGAGCACTGTGAACAAATATAAGGATGATGGAACTGTTAAGCAGCTTGCCTTAAAAGGGTTTGTAGAGGCCAAGTTACCGAAAGAGAATGACCCTTCTTCAATAATGTCATGATTTCTCAGGGACAGATGGATCATCCAAGAAGCACTGTATTAGATAGCCTTAGAGGTACAGTGTCCAGTCCCTCTCCTAGAAAACCAGCAGGGACTCTGTCCCTGCATTCAAAGGTCCCTGTACCTTACATTGCAGGAAAGGTCCAAGAGACAGTGGCATCATAGTCAGCTGCATTCTGCCCTGAATTCATAGCTTTTTTGAGAAGGGGCAGCAAGTACTTCTTTGCTTGAAACTTCTTTTTATTAGATTTTAAGACTTTGGTCCATGAACTTGCCTTTTCTCATTTGTGCTTTTTAAATTAGTGCATGTTAATCATACAAATTTCTGAGTTTCATTGTGGCATTGTCATACTCGTATATAACCTACCTTGATGGTATCCCTCCTCTTCCCATTCCTCTCCTTTCCTCTCCCTTCCCTCCCTTACCATCTCTCATTTCCTTAGTCTGTGTGAGACTTCTTTATTGCTCAGGGCCATTAGAGATTTTCCAGCAGAAAGTATAAATGACTGTTAAGAGCCTCTGCAATAAGGGTGGGCATGATCAGGTTCTTTGATCTGGTGGTGACATTTTCTGTTGCTTATGTGGTAGTTACTTCAGGGGCTTCAGAGTGAATTTCTGGCTCTTTAGTGTTTCACAACACCAGCCACCAGTTCTCTGATTTTCTAGACACCAGCTGGATATTCAGCAACTCAATTCAATCCTGAAGTTAGCATGGAACCTGTAGTTTAAGGCCCTAGTCTCTGAAGGTTGACCTCCATTCAGGTGGCAACCATCAAGTCCTGAGCCAGCTATGCTTTTGATTGAATGGATGTAAATTGAGTTTCCAAAGCCCTTTGGTAAGGCTTGATAGTTTTCTAGAATGGCTAATAGAACTCAGGAAAATACTTTGCTTATGTTTACAGGTTTTTGGTAAAAGACACACCTCAGGGCTAACCAGATGGCAGAAATGCTTAGGACACGTGATAGGTGATGTTTGTAGCTTTATGCCCTCTCTGAGCATAGCACCTTCTGTGACCTGGAGGCTTTCACAGTAACCTTATTCTAGGGTTGTGATAGAGCATAATCTCCAGACTCTTGTATCCCAGAAGTTGAGAATGGGGCTGAAAGTTCCAGCCCTCTAGTCACTTTGTCTTGCTGGTGACCAGCCCCACTCTGAGCTGATCTAGGGGCTCCATCCTAAATCACCTCATTACATAATGGCAGGAGTGATCAGAAGGGATTCCTCAGGAATAGCAGAAGATGCTCCTCTCACTTAGGAAGTTCTACAGTGTTATGGTTTGTGTCTAGTTGTGCCCTGAAAGCCTCATGCAGTTATGGGGTGGACTTCTAGAGTTTGTGATTAACTCATGATCCACTGGGATTATGGGTGTGAGTGCTGCTGGAATTATGGGTGTAAATGCTGCTGGGATTATGGGTGTGAGTGCTATACCAAGTCTGGGACAGATAGCCTGAATGTACGTAAGGGAGACAAACTTGCTCTCTGTTGCCATTGTTGCTGCTACTCCTCCTGTTTGCTCTTGCTGTTTTGCTGTTTTCCACCACCATGAAAGGTTGCCCTGTGCCATTTGACACTCTGTCTTGGAACCACCTGAGTATGGACTGAAACCTCCACTAACTGTGAGCTAAATAAACATTTCCTTCCATAATTTTGGGTTTTGGGTATTTTGTCCCAGCAATAAGAGAAAGTAACTGAGACATGCGGGTTTAAGAAGCTATGCCTGGGCAAGGGACAAACACTGAAGGTTTTTTTGCATCATATCACACTGGCAAAATATACAGTCAAATAAATTGCTGTGTCAACTTTTTTGATGTTTGTTTCTTTTTTTTTTTTTACTTTTATTGGTACATTTTAAATATACATAATGATCACATTCATTAGAGGAAGTTTCTGCCTGATCTGATACTTCTTGATTCTTCTTTTTCCAATCCCCTCTCCTCCCTTCAACTCCATTTACAAGACTTGTTTCCATTTTATTCCTTCTATTCTTTTTTCTTTTCCTTTCTTCCTTTCCCCATCCCTCTCCCTAGTTCTTATTTTCATTTGAATATTTTTCTTTCTTTCTTTTTTGTTAAAGGAGGAATAGTTTATTTAGCTCATGGTTTATAGAGCTTTCAGTCCATGATCAGCTTGCACCACAGAAGGACAGCACATGGCAGAAGGCAGTAGTTCATGGTGGCAGAACACAGCAAAAGCAATAAGGGAATGAGAGCGAAGAGAGCGAGAGACAAGTTCTTTCTGCCACTTTTATTTTATGCAGAATGCTGGGATTACAGTTGTACCAATCCAATCAGTGTACTGATCCAGTAATCCCACATTCTTAATCCCAGCACCCTTAATCCAAGAATTGCACATTCCAGATTCACCATTGCTAATAAAGTTCTATGACTGCATGAAGCTTGGGGCATACAACTAGACCCAACCATAACACTAGATAGCTATTCAAGAGGCTGAGGTTGGAAAATCCAAAATTCAAGGGCAGTACGGGCAAATCAAGATTTTTTTGGAACATTTTCTTCCTATTTTGGTGTTTGTTTCTTTATCATTGTTCCATAAAAATTCCAGATGTATGCATATAATTTCTTCTGTTTTTGTTTCTTAAACACTCTATTTTGAAATACTTTCCTACCTAAGAGACTGGTTGCAGCTAGGTGTGGTGGTGCATGTCTAATCTCAGCACTCTGAGAGGCTGAGGCAGGAGGACTGAAAAAGTTCTATCCTAGCTGGACAATTTAGCAAGACCCTTTTTCAAAATGAAAAATAAAACAGGACTGGTGATGTAGTGTAGTACAAAGGCCCTGGATCTGGGTTCAGTTTTTTTTTTTTGGGGGGGGGGGGAGAGAGAGAGAGAGAGAGAGAGAGAGAGAGAGAGAGAGATATTAAGTGAATACAAGACTAATAGGAAAAGATCAATAAAAAGAACTCCCATATACGCTCACTCATTAACATTTGACTGTATTAGGTTTATCATTGTCATCTGTAATTCATGTTCTCTATTTATGTGTATGTGTGTTATGTATATATGTGTTCGTATATGTGTAATGCACACACATAGCTATGTGACAGAGTTGTTGTGAAAGCTGTCATAATCAAAAAGGAGTTAGAGGGACAGGGAGATGGCTCAGTAGAATAAGCGCTTGCCTGGCAAGCGCAAGGGCCTGAGTTCAATCCTCAGTTCTGAAAAAAAAAAAGTTACTTATGTAACTACCATAAAAGTCTGCCGGAACTATAACCTTGCAGAGGCCACTACAGCCTTATACAAAAAGTATTTTTTAATAGAAATAAACTTTTTACTTTCAGAAATTGTTCAGTATTAAGCAAAACGACCTTAAACAGCCCACAGGGGTGGCAGTTGGGAGATGCCCAGAGTTCAGTGCTGGGCCACACTCCAAAAAGTATTTCAATAAGGGCATCTGCCAGGACCTGCTCAATCTCAGACGAATACCACTTTTGTTATTAAGCACTGTACATTGCCTGGCAAGTGCAAGGGCCTGAGTTCAATCCCCGGTTCTGCCAAAAAAAAAAAAAAAAATTAACCACTGTACTTATAACATTCAGGAAATTTAACATTGGTACATAATATTTTCTAATGTACTGAACTTGCTATCATTTCACTAATTGTTTTAATAATGTTTCTTTTTAAAAAAAAAGCCGTTCCCCCCTCCTGATTTAGGAATCCAGTTCAAGATCATGTATTTGCATGTTTTGGGCATTTTCTTTGTTTCTAACCTCTTGGAAGTTGCAACTGAGCTACCAACTCTTCTTACACATGATTTACTTATTTATTTTTTTATGTATTTTAGTATAGGATGTACAGGGTCTCCCTATACTGATCGGACTCAGTGATCCTCCAGTTTTCAGCCTCCCAGCTGCTGGGATTACAGGTGTGCCACCACACCCAGTCTCAGTTGCTGTCTCAGTGTGCCTTGGGGGCAGGATCGAATACCAGTTGCTGCTCTGCCTAAGGAGGTGCTTTAGTCCACTGAGCTATCTGGCTGGCACGCTTCTTACACGCCGTTAAAGGGGTAACACTGGCCCTGCTATCTGTGCAGTGTTAAAAGTGCATGTTATATGTAAGGCTGTCTCCTTGGTCATGGGGTATTCTTGCTGTTTTGATTTTCAGGCCAGGAGTCTCAAGATAGTCTTGGACTTGTCTGCATTTTTGTCTTTGTTCTTTAAAAGACTGTTCACTTTGGGAAGGACAGGAGGCTGCCTAAGCTTGCTTGCATGTGACAGGACAAAGGGAATTTCTGGGATGGGCTGACTGTGACCTCTCGGGGTATTTTGACTTAGAAGATGTTAACAGTATCTAGCCCATGACTTTACGTGCCTAGAAACTTTCTTTTTCCTGATGTAGTTCAGGCTGGCCTTGAACTCACTATGTAGCCCAGGATGGCCTCACACTTGTGGCAATCCTCCTGCCTCAGCTTGCCAGGTGCTAGAATTATGGTCATGTGCCACCACACCCAGCAGTGCCAAGAAACTTTACATAGTATACCAGGGAATGAGTGTATCAAACGTATTTTCCCAAATCTCATGTGAGTTGATGATCAAGCCATTTCCGTTCATGGCTATGTGTAACAGTCCTTTTAGTCATTTGAGTGTCCTTATTCTCTATAATAGGGTTAAGGTGATCAATTGTTGGAAATGGTAAGAATAAAAGTGTAATTTTTTCAGAATGCACTAAGCTCCAAGGTAGAAATCACACACTTCTAATCAGAATATCTGAGGCTGCACTAGGTCTAGCGGGTTCTCAGGGGATTCAGCTGTGACATTCTTCTGTGTTCTCCAGACCTTAATGTTTGTTGTAAGCATTTTTTTTTCCTTGTTCAGGTCCTTACTGAGACATGGAGAAATTCTTCTTCTAGAAGCTGTCTGAGGACATAAAATGTTTTCTTCCATTTTGTATTGATGAAATTAATTTCAGCCTGAGATGGCACCTTCTTTGTTTCTTGTTTTCAGTGTCATTCATGTGCTTCTTAAAATTTATATGTGCATTTTTGATGGTCAAACCATAAATTTAGAATATAAATTAGGATATGTTTGTAATGGCAGCAGAGACAGCTAAACCTGGCTTGCATAATTAAAAGGGCCAGCCATAGGGATGAGCTTTTAGTGTTTCAATCAGAGATTCATCAGGCTATGAAAGCCCTGCTTTTGATAGTATTGGCTTCATTTTCAGGCTTCATTACCTCTTGGTAGCAGAATAGTTGCAGCAGTTCTGAACTTCACATCCACACAGGATACTGTACAAAAGTACGGCATGTTGATTTCTTTAGAGACCTCCAGAAGGTCTGTCCTTTTACTGGCATGAATTGAGGCATATGCCCCTGTTTGTGAGCCAGCCCCTGTTTCAGAGAAATACATGCAGTGATAGGCTTAGACCTGGACTACCGAACAAATTAATAATTCATGACAAGAGAAAAAGGGACCCCCACAGGCTTTGGAGAAAATAGCTTCTCCCAAACCATTGACTTGCGTGTCAGGGTTAGATGAAACCTGAGAGAAAATTTGGCGTACTCTTGGGAAAAGGGAACAAGGAATGAATGTTGGATAGGTAACTAACAGTACTCTTATTTTTTAGGTACATGCAAAGTTTTCTTGAACTTTTAGAATATGAAAATAAAAGCCCTGAGGACCCAAAGGTTTTAGATAAGTAAGTATGCTACCACTTAACTGAAAATAAAAATGACTGGGTAAAAAAAGGTTTTAGTAATAGGAATTGATATCCGTAGGACCCGGTGAATATAATTTGGACAAAAGCTTTAGTTTCCTTAGCGAGTAAATGACTCATTGTAGTTTTTAAATTTTTGAGTTAAGAATTTACATAGTACACAAGGAATAATAATACTACCTCAAATTACTGTTTCATGACACAGTTCGTAATTAATACATTTAGTCAAGACGAACTAGATACTGACTCTAAACATTGCAGTAAATGTTCCATCTAGTGGTAGGTTTAAGAATGCAATGGCTTCCACATATGCAGAAATTATCTACCCAATCCTTTGCAATTTAAACATCTTTTCAATGGAGTATTACATTTGAGCACAGAAAAATTGTAATGCTTTTATTTAGATAAGCATAGAAGAATGTGCTTTTAATATAACAACCTGAATTCTGGTGCTGCCATTATGTACAAAGACTGCTAAATTCTCAAGCTGATGGAAAGTATTTGTTTTTCATTTTTTAACTTAGCTAAGAAACATTAACCCTAGCTGTGTGGGTTTTTTCTCCAAGAGAAATTGTTTCCTTCCCATTAATTTTCCCCCATTTCATATAGAAATGAGTGAACACACATAGCAGGCCTATTGTGCTAAGAAATTTCTAAGTATAAACCTAATCCCCATAGCTAAGGAGCAGACACCCCACATAGGTGTTCCATAAAAAGAGCAAGTGAAACAGCACAGCATGCAGACAACCTTAGGTAGTATTTAGCCCAGACCTCTGAATTCACAGATAAAGAAACTGGCTTCAGAGTTGTGAAGTGACTTTCCCAAGCTTATGACTGTTTTTAGCAGATAGAAGACATAGCAGACCCAGTTCCTTTTCCCTGGCACAATGTATTCTTTACCATGTACTGCACTGGCAGACCTGCTGGCTTGATTCATGAGTAATTAGCCAAGTTCACAAATTAACATGCAAAAGGGGAAAGGCCCTAACCTGTTTTATACTTTGCTAAGTGTTTTGTCTAATAAGTCTGTGAGGGCTGGAGAGATGGCTCAGTGAAATAAGCACTTCCCTGGCAAACGCAAGGGCCTGAGTTCAATCCCCGGTTCCACCAAAATAATAATAATAATAATAATATTAAGTCTGTGAAATGTAGAAGGAGCAAAAATTAGATTAGAGCGCCAAACAGTATTTTCCTTAATACAACCCAGTGCTATCATTGAAGGTGTTGATATGAAATGAATTGAATCCAGAAGCTTTGTTTTCTCAGAAGTCATTAGAAAAAAAAAGAAGTCATTAGGTGGTGACATTTTGTTCATCTGAAATCGTACAAATGAGGGCTAGCCTCTTTAAGTCTAAACTTGAAGATGTAGATTTGTAGAAGTACAGTATATTAAGTTTCTGCATGCTTTTCTGGAATCCTGTCCTGATTTCTGGAACAGATTCAGTCAGATGCAATGTACGGACATAAGCCTGCTCTGTGAGCAGCCATCCTTGAATCCAGCCTGTGCTAGGTCTTCGTGATAACAGCTTCCGCTTGGGGAAGTTTGGTAACTTGCCGGGTTCACCAGCCTGCAAGTGGTAGGATCTGAATAACCCCCTGCTCTTGGTGGAGTAAGGTTGGGGAGTGTCATGTGGTGGACTCTTCTGTTTAGTGAGGGGTTATATGACATTGCCAGTAGAGGACTCAACTTAGTGAAGTGAAAGTAAATGCTTCACAGTGAGCTACATTTGCAGCCCTTTTTTATTTTGGCAGGAACTCCCTAAGTCTGTGAGTTGTCCAGGCTGGCTTCAACCTGTTGATCCACCTGCCTCAGCCTCCCAGAGTGCTGGAATTATAATCATATACCACAATTGCCAGTTTTCATTTTTGTGTGAATATCATAGAGCAGTGATAGTGACACTTTTAGAGACGAGTGCCCAAAATCAACCCAAAACCCACTTACTGCAAAGTACCGGCACTGGAATTAAACCTGAATACTGAGGTCTTAGCTTAGAAAAACATCTCATATACTAACATCTTTTGTCTTAAAAGAAAGACAAATAACATGTGTGCCATAAGTTCACTTCCACTGTCATAAGGTGTACTTGCAAAAACAAAGATGGCTGTGATGTCCCTGACACTACCAGTGTATGTAGGATCGGTCATTTACAGAAGCACAGTTATGTGGCATGTGATTACTCACATCAGTAGTCTGTTGTTAGATTTTAGACAGGCTTATAGTTTCCCTGCTACTACAAAGTGTGCGCTAGACAACAGCTTTTAAAAACAACTGTCCACTTTGTCTGGTAATTTTGCTAGGATCAATCCTGGAAGTGAAATTAGTTTATTTAAGCTTTGATATGTTGTTAAGTTGCCCTTAGAAATGTGTCAGTGAAGCTTCCATACTCTACTGATACTGGATACTCTCTGGTAAATACAGAATACTATCACATTTATGTTTTAATGGTCCTTTTTTATGAGGATGAAGTTACTGATATTTGTGTTTCTGGTCTTTGGTAAATTTTCCACTGATACCCTTTACCTATTTTTATGATAGGGTACTTCTCTTTTCCTTTATTAAGTGTAATAACTTTTGCAATGTATTTTTCCAGTCTCCCTGGTTTTTGTGTATAGTGTGCATTCCTGTAGAATACCTGAAATTCTAGTTTCATGCCATTTGTTTCTTCATATCATTTGTTTCTGCCTTTTGAATTAAGCTAAGAACAGTCTTCCTTACCCAGTTATACTCTTACCCACTTGATTTTTGTTTATCATCCTATGATCTCACCCTGCTTTTTAGGGTTTTTTTTTTGTATTTTTTAGGGAAGGGTCTATAGGGTGTTCAGGGTCTCCGCCTGTTTACAGCCTCCCAAGAGCTAGGATTATAGGCGCACGCCACCACACCCAGTCTTAATGGCTGTCTTGTGTGCCCTGGTGACAGGGCCAGCATAGCAGGCCCGGGGATTGAACCCACTGAGCTATTTGGCCTGCTCTGCACCCTACTTTTTAAATCTACTTTTTTGACTGAAGACCTGAAATTGGGATGTGACTTTAAATGTGCACCTGCTGTCCCAAGCAATCAGATTATTTTCCTACTGATTTGCAGTTTCACCTACTTAGTATGCTAAAATTTTTATACTCATGTTCACCGTTGAGCCACACAATTTTTTGGTTCTATTGATTGATTTATCCTTCTAGTCTTAGTTTTGATTTTTAATATATTTTTTCTATATATCTTCACAATATTATGCCAGAATACTTGAGTAAGCTCATTTATTTGTTTTATGAGACTGGGTCTCCCTTTGTTTCCAAAGCTGGTCTTGAACTCCTGGGATCAATCGATCTTCCCACCTCCTGAGGTGCTAGGGCTCTAGGCATGTACCACTGTGCCTGCTAAATAAATTTATTTCATTGTCTTTCTTTTATCTACATTTTATCACTACATTTTATTACTATATGAAGTTGACTTCAAAAAGGTCCTTAAAAAGTTTGACATTCTTCATTTATTCATGGGAGCTGCTGCTTTGAGACTTCATAAATAAATCCTTAGGGTTTTTTGGAGCGAGGGACTCTCATTATGTTGTCAGAAGAAATGCTGATATATTCTTCAACAAGCATTTATCGACCCTGTGATATGTAATCATCCCAAAAGTCAGTAGATTCCTACATAGTGAGTACTTTTTCTTTACTAGGACCTTTTACTTTCTACATGTTTGAAAGACAAATTTCTATAGAAAGTTTTAAGCCAAAATATGGGTAATATTTTACTTTCTTATGAGTACTTCCTTTTAGCACATAATGAAAATCTACACAAATCTGAGCAGATAGCTGGCCTGGGAACGAACTGGGAAGTGGGAGCACCAGCCTGTAAGACACAACACTTATCATGTTTTGTTTCCTTCCTATGCAGCTTTCTGCAAGTTCTGATTAAAGTTAGAAATAGACACAACGATGTGGTTCCTACAATGGCACAAGGAGTGATTGAATACAAGGAGAAGTTTGGATTTGACCCCTTAATTAGCAGTAACATTCAGTATTTTCTGGATCGATTTTACACCAATCGCATCTCTTTTCGAATGCTTATTAACCAGCATAGTAAGTTGGCTTTTGTTGTTCCAGTTTTGAAAAGGTAACCAAAGTGATTTCCTACAAGTTTTTCTCTTGCTTTCCTGTTACTTCACTGAGTTACATATTTTTTTTTTGAGCTACATATTTTTGCTGCAGAATTTTTTTAAAAATATATTTGGTTGTTGCAGGGTCTCACTACACAGCATAGACTTGTGGTGATCCTCCTGCTTTCAGCCTCCCCAGTGCTGGGATTAAAGGCATGCACCACTATGCCCAGACTCTGGCTGGCTTAACACCCTGGGGATGGGGCTAACATGGCATGTGGTGCTGGGGACCGAACCCCAGTCCCTGCGCTTGCCTAAGCAGGTGTTTCAGTCCACTGAGCTATCTCGCCGGCCCCAGAAATTTTATTTCTGTGTTAATCTTTGTATTTTGCTGCATTGCTAAATTTGGTTATTAATTCTACATTGTTGGTGGAGATACAAAGTAGTACAACCCCTATGGAAATCTCTATAGAGAGTCCCCAGAAAGCTAAAACTAGAAATTCTATTTGACCCAGCTATTCCCCTTCTAGGTATTTTCCCAAAAGAGTTAAAGACATCATATCATAGTGATACATGCATAGCCATGTTTATAGCAGCACAATTCATAATAGCTGAATCTTGGAAGCAACATATATGTCTATTAACAGATGAATGGATAAGAAAAGGTAATATATGTACACAATGGAGTGATCCTCTTCCACAAAGAGGGATAAACTTGAATCACTTGTAGGCAGATGGATGCACTTTGAGACCATGTTAAATGAAATAAATCAGCCACACAGGCTTACATGTCACATGGTTGCTCCTATATGAGAAACCCAAAATACAAATAAAATAAAAGATAATAGGAAATAGATGTTTCTCAAATAGATAGGAATGAGAGCAAGAGCTAGTGGGAGGTGGGAGAAGGTGAGGGAAAGGAGATTAAGTAAAGAATGAAAGTGCATTGTGTGCGTGTGCCAGCTCCACATAAGGGTTGTAAACATTATATACTGCCAACATGAGCTCATACAACTAAAACACTGGCAACATTTTTTATTTCTATTTCAGTTTTTCCTAAGTGAATCTTGTGTACAAAAAAGCTATTTATTAGTATTTTTTGTTAAACAAGCTCCTTGAAAGGCATTTATGAAGCTCGTATTAGAGACAAGCCCGTCTAAGCCTCTGCCATTACATTCTTGGTGGGCATGAGGGACCAGCCTTAATGACAACTGGGTGTCCATCTCTGAGTATCTTCATGCGCTCTACTCTTTAGCCAGCATTTTATATATTTTCCTTTTTAGTTTTGAAACCATCAATCCTGGAAATACAGAACTGGTATGTTTACAAATAAGCAGTCAATCCTTCAATGATGAGTGAAATCCAACTAAATGAGATGATCAGTTCATAACCCCTCACTGAGAGTTTTAATCTGTTCTCTAGAGTGATAAACACATACTTAAAAAACCCTAAAGTTTCATCAAAGAAAACTTTTGGCTCATGCTCAGTGTTCTCTGGTTTCATAATTCTTAAGAAAAGGCATTCACATATCTATAGCCTAATTCTTCATCCTTATTGAATGAGACAGTGGACAGAACACCTTTATTTTACTAATTTATTTAGATGAAATAATGCTGTACAACTGTTAAGCATGGCTTTATTTTATTTTAATTTTTTAGTGCAAACTATTATTCTGTTTACTCAAATTATAACTTTAGTCTCTTCTCCCACATGATTTCAAGAATGCAAGTCTTTTAATTTTTTTTTTTTTTTGGCAGAACCGAGGATTGAACTCAGGCCCTTGCGCTTGCCAGGGAAGCACTTATTCCACTGAGCCAACTCCCCAGCCCTGTTTTTTTTTTTCATAATTTTATTGATAAACAGATAGCAATGAGACAGTTTCAAATCAAATTGGTAGGACAGTTTCAGTAACCAACACACTGCATATATTCTTCTTAGTGGTTAATTGCTGTACAAGATGCGGACCTGAGATCCTATTTACAAACACCATTAGAACAAATCATTCTATTCATTAAGAGAATGTAACTATATCTCTATCCCAACCACTTTGAATACACAGATACAAAATGGACATTCATCTGTATACCCCTTTTTTTTCTAAGTTCCGTTATTTGAATATTATAGGTGTGTAAACTCAGCAAAATATTCTAAAAGAGTCCAGTAGCCCATAATAGCATTGGGTCTTCTGTTAGCCCTGAATTTTTGTTGGAAAATTTTTATCCTGCTTTGTATCTCTACAAAATTCTAGTAATATTTTATGTATTTTCTTGATTCAATCAAATTTATACTAAATATATATAAGGTATTTATCTCTTCTAGTATAGTAGACTTTTTTCAAAAATTTAAATACGTGTATTCATTTTTAACTGACACATAGTAATTTTACATGCTTATGGGCACAGTGTGACAACATAATATGTGGATAACATATTTACCAATCAGATCAGGGTAATTAGAATATCTATGATCTCAGATATATACCATTTATTTTTGTATTGGAAAGTTTACTATTTTGAAATAAACACACAAGTATTGTCTACTATAGTTATCCCACTGCTCTATAGACTATGACAAGTTAGGGCTGGCGAGATAGCTCAGTGGACTAAGTGCTTGCTTAGGCAAGTGCAAGGGCTGGGGTTCGATCCCTGGTATCCCATGCTGCACCAGCCCCATCCCAGGGCCTATTGAGCCCATGACTCAGTCCGGTGGGGGTGATGTATGCCTATAAACCCAGTGCTGGAGAGAATGAAAACATAAGGATCACCATGAGTCTGAGCTATGTACTGAGACCCTGTACCAAATACAATAAAAAATAAAGACTAATGAATATGACAGACTATTTCTTCTATCTAACTGTACCCTTGTGAAAGTTACCATTCATTGATCTATTCTTTTTTTTTTGTTTGGTGGTACCAGGGATTGAACTCAGGACCTTGTGTTTTCCAAGCAAGCACTTACTTATTCCAATGAGCTATCTCCCCAGCCCAACTATTAAGCATGGCTTTATTTTATTTATTTATTTATATTTAGCATGGCTTTATTTTAAATGCATATCTTTTAAGCACAAATATATGACAATTTACATTAGAAATATCTGAAATATTGTTTGACGGAAGTATAACTGCAATTTTTTTTAGCTGTAAATATGTACATATACCAGATGTGAACATGTTTTTAGAGCATCAGTTAGTTATGCAGCTCTGATTTTCTTCCCCTTAATCATTAGAACTTTAAGCACTGGCTTGCAACCCATACTTAGTATTATTCATAATTTAAATTCCATTAGTCATTTTTGTGGAGTCCAATTTATTCCCAGTTTTTGCTTGATTTAAAAATAAGTACACAGGCCTATAATCCCAGCACTTGGAAGGCTGGAGCAGGACGATTGCCGTGAGTTTGAGGCCAGCCTACACTGCACAGTGAGACCCTGTCTGAAAAAAAAAAGAAAAAAAGGAGAGGAGGGCTTGAGGTGTAAGTCAGTGGTAGAGTACTGGCCTAGCATGTGTGAAGTCTTGGGTTTGAACCCTAGTACTACCAAAAAATAAGCAAACCTATAAAAATTTGTATGGCGAGTCCTTTTTTCTCCAGCTCTGCTTTTGGCTTTGCTTTAGAAATGAAATTTTGCAAATCTTGTGTATGGAGAAATTATCTAAATGTTCTTTTAAGATACTTGAAAAATATTGTTTGTGTATACAGCATGGAAAACAATCTCTACAACAGAGGCATTTGAAATGCTACCAGCGATGGCACTTGCAGGCCTGTCCAAGTGATATGGACTGTGTGTTCTGAATATTTAACAAATATCAGAACAAATGTCTGGAGCAGTCCTGAGAAAGTATGTAAACTTGGCTAAGAATAGAAGTGAGCTTCTTCTGTCACACTGGCTGGAGGAGAAAAGCTTAGGGCCCTGCACATGTCACTGCTTTAGGATCTGCTGACTATGACAGGCCTCAAAGCACATCCTTTTTCCTTCTTTGGCTGGTAGAGTTGCACATATTCCTACAATTCCCTGTTTGCCTACCCCAGCCTGCTGTATTTTAATCCTACTCTTTCTCTTTCGTGTTTAGCACTTCTGTTTGGTGATGACACTAATCCTGCGCATCCGAAACATATAGGAAGTATTGATCCAACCTGTGATGTGGCTGATGTGGTGAAAGGTGAGGAGTCCAGGGCAGTGTTATTGATTGCAACTCAAATGGCATTGTGGTTTCTTGGAGGCAACTTGGCTGTAGAGTTCTGTTGTCTGCTGATTCAGCAGGCTATGTGAGGCCAAGCTGTTTAAATCAAATATGAAATGTATTTTCTAGACAGTTCAGGTAAAGATGTAATTTGTAATGGTCCAGGGTTGGGGAGATAGCTTGGTGGTCTAAACCTGTAATCTGAGCACTGGGGAGGCTGACACAGGAGGATCACTAGAGTACCTTTATCAAATAAGTAAATAAATAAATAAAGAGTACAAACAAAAGCAAATAGCAAAAACAAAGACAGAAACAGTAGCATACAATCATACATATGGTACAGATTTTCAAAACAAGAACAGCATCCACAGCATGCAGTGCTGGCCTGGCCTCCCAGGCATACTGAGACTGTGACTGAGACTGGGCGTGGTGGAACGTACCTGTAATCCCAGCGCTTGGGAGACTGAAAACAGGAGGATCACTATGAGTCCGAGCTGTAAAGTGAGACCCTGTAGACCCTGTACTAAATATATAAAAAAGAAAAATAAGAATAGCAAATTAACAATGTTTGTTATATTACATATTTTTACTGTGAAATCTGTTGCTCATATTAACAGATACAGGTATGCAAGGTTGGACAAATAATTGAACATTGACACTTTCAATAAACCTTAATTTTTCTTCTTGTCCTTTTTACTTTTTATTTTTTAATTTATTTTAAAGAGAGTATAATCATAATTGATAAGACATTAGAGACGGTACACATTTAGAGGAACAAGATGAGAGGTATTCAACTGTGGCTTTTGTATTGCACGTTGTTGTCCTTGATGTCGTTGTTCAGATTGCAAATATTAGCATATAGTTAGTCAAAGTAAAATTTTTAAACATTAACTGCTACTTTCAAAAAACTGATGGAAATTAGTGGTACAATCATCTCAGCTATCCTATATAAATACTTGCATGATTTTCCCCCTTCCTTTTTACCCTGTTATTTCTCCTTTCCCTCATCTTCACTGTTTATTCTTTATGTTCAAAAAAATTTTTTTTTAATTTGTAATGCTTCAGATTTGAGTTTCTATTTCGTCGACCAGGGCTATGCTTGTAGCTCTATCTCAAACAAGAAACATTTAAGTGACTCTTAGGTTTTACTTTTTTTCAGCTTTTTTTTTTTTTTTTTTTTTTTTTTTTGTCTTTCTGAGACAGAGCCTCGCTTTGCAGTTCAGGCTGGCCTTGAACTCACTTTGTAGCCCAGGTTGGCCCTGAACTCACAGCAGTGCTCCTGCTTCATCCTCCTGAGTGCTGGTATTACAGCTGTGCACCACTACACCCGGCATTCCTCAACCCAGGGATAAGGACACAGGCCTGTTGGTTTTAGCTCAACCTGATTGCCAGACTGCTTCTGTTTAACCAGAAAACATGTGCCCTGCCTGGAAAGCATAAGGTCCCAAATTTCAATCCCCAGTACTAAAAAAGAGAAAAGAAAACTTGTATCCACATTATCGCAGCTACAGAGTCAATAGGCCCACCTTGTATTTTGCATCTCTACCTTCTCTTTTGAATTCAACTTGTGTAACTCACGTAGTACCTAGTATAGTGCCTGTGCAGATAATCTATAAATATTCCTTGGTTTGATACATTTTAAACCTTTTGATAATTTACATTTGGGGGGTGGTGAGACAGGATCTCACTATGTAGTTCAGGGTGGCCTTTAACTCACTATGTAGCCCGGGCTCATCTCAAACTCATGGTGATCCTCTTGTGTCAGCCTCCTGAGTGCTGGGTTTATAGGCGTGTACCACCATGCCCAGTGCTAACTTACTTTAAAAAATCTTTATGTAGACATAATTCTCATACCATGTAGCTCACCAATTGAACATGCACACACAGCTCAGCTGTTGTTAGCATAGTCACAGAGTTGTGCAGGCATCACCACAATCCAATTTTAGAACATTTTCTTCTCCCCCAAAAGGAGCCCTGTCCCTATTAGCAGTCACTTCCTACTACCCCAGTCCCTAGCCCTAGGCAACCACTAACCTGTCTCTGAAAATACTCCCCTACAGTAGACATTTCCTATAAATACAGTCATATAGTACACAGTCTTCAGTGACCGACTTCTTTCACTTAGCATGTTGTTTTCAAGTGCCATCTGTTTGGTAGCATTTATCAGTACTACATTCCTTCTTTTTAATTGGAAGACATCCCATGCTACGTATGACCATACTGTTTATTCATCGGCAAATGGGCATGAGGGCTAACTAGGTGACTTTGAATATGTTTCGGAATATCTTTGGGCTTCATTTTTTTCAACTGTAAAATGGTACTTTCAGGATTTTATGAGAATTGAAAATTTAAATACTACACATCTGATATTAAGGAAGCTAATGTTTGGTGTGACGTTGGTGTGGTTTTGTTTTTTTCAGAAGAGTTCTAGCTTTGAGAGAATATTTTAAATATTTATACATGATAGGAAATGATGTGGGATTTGCTTCAAAATTATACAGACAGGGCTGGCCAAATAGCTCAGCAGATTAAAGTGCCTGCAAGCAGGTGTAGGGACCAGGGGTTCGATCCCAGGGCCTGCTGAGCTGGCCCTATGCCTGGGGCGACCTGAGATGGTGATTGAGACTGGGAGTGGTGGCACGCGCCTGTAATCCCAGCACTTGGGAGACTGTAAACAGGAAAATCACTATGAGTCCTATCTAGTAATGAGACCCTGAACATCCTGTAGACCCTTCCCTAAAATACAGAAAAAAAATATATACAGAGAACAGAATGGAAAAGATTGGGCATATGTTAAAAATTGTTAAGGTTGTTGGTAAGTGCATGGGGTTTCTTTATCCTGTTCTCTATACTTTTTTATATGTTTGAAATTCTTCATGGTCAGGTTTTGACCATGAAGACAGGGCTGGGGAGATAGCTTAGTAGAATAAGTGCTTGCCTGGCAAGCGCAAGGTCCTGAGTTCAATCCCCGGTACCGCAAAAACAAACAAACAAAAGTTTTGAAAACATTCATTTTTATCATCTAGTTTTTTCACACAGACTTTCATTAATTTTTAGGGAGTCTTTAAGAAGTACTAGAATTTGACAAGTAACAGAGTTTTATGAAACTGTTACTACTTTTGTGGAACAGAGAAATGAAGCAATGCTCAAGTGAGTCAGAGGCCTTGTAAGAAAGCTGAAGGGGAAATTTACTGTGACTTAACCCCGAAGGTCTGCATTACTGTGTTGTATTTAGACATATTGTTACCTGGTCTTGTCATGATTTGCACTTCCATTGCTCCCTCTAACCTGAGTGTAGATTTCTAAAGGTCTAGAATTACTCTGATGCACTTTTGTACCATTCCACTTAGGGACAGAAATTTGGTACCAAAACTGGCTGAAGAGCATGTAGGACAATTCAGTATGTATTTGCAAAAAAAGCTTAGCAGATCGTGTCTGCAGTCTACCTCTTTGACTCCTTGTATTAGTCATTGCAATGACAAAATACCTGAGATAAGCAACTTCAAAGTGGGAAAAGCTTATTTTGGCCCACAGTTTGAAAAGTTTCAGTCCATCATTGCTTGGTTCTATCACTTTGGGATGATGACAAAGCAGAAATCATGGTGAGGAGTTTGGGGCAGCTGGGAAGCAAAGCAGAAGGGCTGGGGTCCCAACATCCCCTTCCCAGACACACCTCCAGTCACCTAACTTCCTTGTCCCCACCTCCTGAAGGTTCCACCACCTCTCAATAGCACCACAGGCTGGAGACCAAGCCTTGGGCACACAGTCTCTAGGGGCCATTTAATATCCCAACCATAACACCCTTGTTTTTCTTTTTCTTTGATTCACAATGTGACCATGAGCCCACATCCTTTCTCTTCCCTCTTCTTATACTCACCCACAGCTTTATCTTCCCTCTTGCCTTACCCTTGTTAACTTTATATCCAGTAGTATACTGTGGATAAAATTTACTGTCTCCTGTCAAATAATTATTCCCATTTTGTTTGTCATAACTAAGGCCTAGATTCCTAGTACAGCTCTGTCCAATGACAGTCACTCCCTCGTCCCCCTCTGTGACTCAGAGTTCCACTTTCCCCAACACACACACACACACATATACACACACACACACACACACACACACATAGAGGTGTGTACACACATGCACATCCTGTCCCACACTCCTAGGATACTCATGGGATAAGGAGGAGGGACTGGCATGCTCTCTGTTACCCTGTGCTTTTCTTACAAATACTTTTTATTTCAGCAGGGTGTGGTGATACACACCTGTAACCCCAGTGCTTGAGAGGCTGAGGCAGGAGGGTCACAGCAGGGTGTGGTGATACACACCTGTAACCCCAGTGCTTGAGAGGCTGAGGCAGGAGGGTCACTACAAGTTCAAGGCCAGCCTATGCTTCATAGTGAATTAAAGGTTAGCCTGAACTACAGAGTGAGACCCTGTCTAAAAAACATAAAACAAATATTTTTCACTTCTTACCTTAAAGGAAAAAAAAAAACCACAGGGTGGTTTCAGATTCCCAAAGTGCATAAATACTGTGAAGCAACATCCACAGGTTTGTTACCATTCCTTCCCTTTTCAAATCATGCATACTGATCCACAACACTATATTTTCTTGGCTTGTGTATATTTTCTGAAATGCTTTTGTACTTCTATTTCTACTTGGTGAGGTGTATGGTTGCTAAGGGTCACTTATTTGTACCAAAACTGTTGGTTTTAAGTGATAGTACCTGTTTTGTCTACATAGTTTATTTAATACCATGTAGACGGAAGAATAGGGACTTTTTCCATTAAAACTAAGTTGAATGCTTTAAGAAGACTCAGTAAAGGAAAGTCTCTTAAAATGTAATGGAATTACTATGAGCAAGAAAATTACTAGATTACAGGCTGGCAAAGTGTAAAAATCATAGAAGCAATCCATACTGTTTACTTCACAAATGTCTGTAAATTGATAACACTTTGAAGAAATAGGAATTGAAAT